CGGCCTTCCCCAACCTCCTTTCTACCTGAAGGAAGGAATAGTATTCGGTAGCAGACTGTGTCAAAGACTTGATGTACTAGGTTTTCTCAGCACATCTTATATCTCGGAAAAAGTCGTTGGAAGTAGACGAAGAGGCCTGTAATCTCTTCTTTGACATGTATGTCACTTTCACCTCAAGTTGAAACCAATTATCAGAAATCAGGAGCAAGAAATGTCATCGTAACATTTTGGGGCCATTTTTATTTTGCAGCTGCAAATCCTTGCTCTTCTGACAGCAGTCTGTGCTCGGGGACCGGCCAGGAGTGCAAACCAGCCGAGTCTGCAGCCGGCTATTCCTGCCAGTGCCGAGCAGGGGACGGATATTTTAAGCAAGAAGATGGCTCCTGTCAACGTAAGTCAGTGTTTTAGCCATTGCTTGGCCATGCTGAGGTATTTCATCTTTGTCCGAGCTTCTAATTGAGAACTCAACCCTTGATAAAATCTCATCAAGAATGGGTCATGAATTGGGCATGTGGAAATGTAGATGTTAAGTTTGTTGATAGAATAACGTTGAGTAAATTGAACTGTTTAACTTTTTCAAAGACAAACAAACAAAAAGTAAATGGACACAGGATAGAAATGAGAATATTTTTGGGAACAGTTCTAAAACTAACAAGTACAGAGGAGGCCGTGTCAAAATTAAAACGTAATTTCTAATCCAGTTTTTTTTTAAGAAGGAAAGGAGAGGCCCCTTAACTTCTCACTTCCAAAATGGTGCATTCAGTTTCTCACTGACATTTTTTCTCCCCATCAGAGTTACCCGCACGCAAACTATCGATTACTCTACCATCCCTGACGTTCAGTCCAGCATATGGCATTCCATCATCAGAGAAATATAAGGACTTTGCTGCCAAGGCTCAGCAAGGGGTAACTTATACTCTGCTTCTCCAGAGAGTCCCATCCAACAGATCTGCCTCAGCACACATTTTTAACAAAACTTTATTTATGCTATATTTCATGAAATTTGCTATTGTTAAGCTGATAAGGTGTTGCAGGATGAAAGATAACCTCTTGGGGGACTTTCCAGTACTGGGTTTCATCCCTGTCCAAGGCTTTGTCTCTGAGATTGAAACGGCTGATTGCTGGCCTAAAATGTTTGAATTGAATTAAAATGCTTTCACCATTTTATCAATAGCATGTCATATTAACTTAGTATTAAGCTATCAATTTCAAACTCAAGGGTTCAGAATGGATTGCTATTGAGCCCCATTTGAATGAATTGAGCTTCATTTGAATGCCCTTGTTTTTCTGTTTACTTTTCAGATTATGACAAAGCTCATGGCAAATGCTGCCACCAGTCATGTCCAGACAGTGGAAATCGTGTCTCTCACAAACGGCAGCGTTGTCATCAATGCTGTGGCAGCATTCTCTTCCAACCAGGCTCTGCCATTAACAGGGAATGTACAGGCTGCTTTCTCAGATAACTCT